AAAAAAAAAAAGAAAGAAAGAAAAATGAAACTATTCCACTTCAGTGATAAAAACCAAAAAATTTTAATTCCATTTTAAGCAAAAAATGGGGGAATGTCTGCAGCACCTGCAGCTTGGAAAGCAAAATTATAGCATCCCAACACCCAACAGGCACTTAAGTTCTGCATCAGTGTAGAACAGATCCACGTCTCAGCCCCATATTTCATGGTGGGTCTGTGTCCAAATGGGGTGTACCATGTGCAGGAGAGACAGGAACCGCAGGAACATGGCCAGAGGAGGGATGAAACATCTCTCTATGAGGACAGGTGGAGAGTTGGGGCTGTGCAGCCTGGAGAGGGAAGGGCTGCAGGAGAGCAGCCTTTGGTATCTAATGAGGGGCCATACAAAAGAAAGGGACAGACTCTTCAGTATGATCTGTGTGATAGGATGAGGGGAGATGGTTTCAGACTAAAAGAGTGGATTTTTAGACTGGATATAAAGAAAATGTTTTTTACAATGAGGGTAGTGAGGCAGTGGCTCAGGTTGCCCAGAGAGGTGGTGGATACCCCATCCCTGCTGACAGCCAAGGTCAGGGGATGGGACTGTCAGCACTGATGGAGCTCTGGGTGTCCCCATTCATCACAGATGGGCCAGATGGCCTTTAAGGGTTCCTTCCAACTCAAACAATTCTATACCTATGGTTCTATACCCATCTTGTGTTTTACCCACTGGAATGAAGAAGGCAGGCAGCTGTCCTTCCACTGCCATGACAGGGTCATCCTCAGCCTCCAATTAAGTGGTAGTTGATGGGGACAAAGTAGCTTACCTTCTTGAGACTGGCATTGTTAATTTGCAACAGAATGGACATTTCTCAACACAGTTACTTTGAAATGCGGATTAGAGCCAAACATTTCAGGTTGGTTCCCCTGTGAGCAGTCACTGAGCCTCCTGAAGGCACCTACCAGATCTCATTGCCATTTCAATTTGCAGACTTGCCCAGTGACCAAAGTCATTATTATTAAGTTTTAATTCTACTTCACCCAGATGGGATTGCTGGATGAAATTGGTGTCTCCCAGGAAATGCAGCTGCACAGCAGCCCCAGCATGGCAGAACCCCCCAGCCTGGCAAACTGCAGATCTTTAGGGATGGGGAAAATCAATCCCCATCATGGCACAGAAAACAAAAACTGCTGTGGCAGAACAAAGAATGGATAACACGGCAGGGCCATGAAAAAGAAAAAAAAAAATGCATGAAATGGTGGGCTCCCTTCATTCTGCACAGCGTAAGGCAGAGGAAAGCAGGTAGACCTGATCTTAGGATGAACTGAGATGCATCAGAACTCCCCTCACCACGATGAGACGTTCTGTGTCCCTGAATGCTGCAGCAATCACACAGCTGCTGCCATGTGTGAGGGGCTGCTCTCTGCTCTCTGCCTTCACAGCTGCTGTTGGGAGAGCAGACGTGGCTTCCCGAGCTGCCAGTCTATCACCTCTCATCAGCACAAAGTATGTTTTGATAAAGAAATGAAACACGCAAGCTGAGGATAATTGCAGGTTGTAGATAGCGATAATAGCTGCAATTTGGATTGTGGAGGCAATAAACCCAGGCTCAGTCGCTGGCTGCTTTGTTTGGGAAAGAGCCCACGCTGCAAACGCTGAAAATGAAATTTATGAAAAATATATCTTTCAGGAAAAGAAATTAGCGTGGATCTGTTGCTGTGGTTGCAGGAGACTGGGAGCGTTAACTTTCTGCAGGCTAAGCCAAAAAGTTTGCACTGGGAGGCAGCCAGCACAGGTGGGACAAACCACTGCCAGAGGTGTGGGTCTGCCATTGCCAGTCATTGGTTATTGGACTAACCATGAGGTTTTTTAAACAGTGGGCTGGGATGAAATTTGACTCCCATTTGATTGACATCAGGTCATCAAAAAATAAATGGCTCCCATCGAGTTCTCTCTGTTCCTGCCATCGGGCTGTAAAACATCCCTAATTGAACCTGCTGCTGACAGCCGACTCGAGTCGTGCTGCTCCAGTTTACAGCATGTGCTCAGCAGTTCCCACAGCGAGCAGGAGATAAGGAAAATCCCATCTCATTTTCTTTCTTCTTGTCTTCCTTTCTTCTTCTGTAGCAGTCTGGAGCTTTCTGTTGGCATCTGAATTCTGTCTGGCTTTAAGCACCTCAGGTACAGCAAGACAAAAAAAAAAAAGATGAAAAAGAGAAGATGCAATTAATAAACTGAGATTCAGAGTGAATGAGACTACGTTTCGTTTTTAACTGAATTCAACTAGTGTTCTGTGCATGCAGTAATAGAGGAAATTGGAAATATACCACTGTTCCATTTAGACACCTTCCAAATGAAAATGCTGTGCTACGGAAATGCAGGAGCACTTTAATTTCGTGTTGGTTTTTCTTTTCCTTTTAAATTAAATTGCGTCTTTCCTATGTAAAAGTGGCCAGCATCAAGCACGAAAGACGCACGTAAACCAGGCAAATAGCTCAAAAATAAAGCACAGTATTTATCTGCCTAATGAAAACATTCCAAGCTGACCCAAAATGATGTATTTTTTCCATATGATGTGCAAGAACAACAACAACAAAAAAATCCTTCCCCAGCAAACTCAGGAGGATATTTAGGCTGGGTCACTGACACGATAACTCCATTATTTTTCCAGATCATCTCTGAACATGCGAAGTTTCAATCATCTCCATCCCAGAACTTCTTCCCCTGTAAAATTGATCTCTAGGGAAAGCTTCTCTGGCAGCCAGCTGAACTATCCCTTCCTCTCATTTTCATCCCATTACTCCTAGCCAATTATTTGTTAGACTTACTGTGATGAGCAATGGGTATTTTGTGACCTTTTTTTACTCTGAGCTGCATATTATGGGATGGGAACGTGGTGAGGAAACCTCTTACTGCTGATGGGTTCGGTAATTGTTTTACCTTTAAATATGCCTTCAACAAAATATCCCAGCCATTGTGGGAATGAGACTACAACGTTGGTGAAATGGAAGCTGCACAGTGAATGTCCCTGTGGCTCTCTCTAGAGGTGGAAGGGCTTACAAGGAACAAAAAAATAAAAACTGCCCAGAGAGGTGTTGGAATCACCATCCCTGGATGTGTTTCAGAACAGTGGAGACGTGGCACTGAGGGATGTGGTCAGTGGGCATGGTGAGGGTGGGCTGGGGTTGGACTCAGTCATCTTAGGGTTCTTTTCCAATTTTGATGATACTGTGAGTCTATGACTATATAAAAAGAAGTAAAACCTTAACCACCCATGAGTTGCTATAGAATCCTAGCAATAATAATAATAATAATAAATGAGTTTTTAACAGCAGGAACTGACTCCATTTCATGCTTCTAGAGCAGTAACTCTCATTGGATTTCTGGTCCAGACATGATTTATTTGAACATTAACCAGTTCTAATTCAAATATGCTGTTTTCTAAATGCATATTAGGTAGCTTACACCCTGATCCTCCTCACAAACCACCACGGAAGAGAATTATAGAATCACCAAGATTGGAGAAGAACTCCAAGATCATCCAATCCAACCATCCACCTGCCACCAATGTAACCCTACTAAAACAGATCCCTTAATACTAGATCTGAATGTTTCTTGAATGCCTCCAGGAACAGTGAGCCAACTACTGGGCAGCCCATTCCACTGCCTGACCACTCTTTCAGATAAAGTTTTCATAATATCCAACCTGAAGTTCTTCTTGGTGCCTACCAACCTCACCCCATCCACACAAAACACAACCACTGTGAACAGCAGGGCGGCCTCACCTACCCCATCAGGCAGAGGTGCAGTTTCTCTCCCTAAAACTTGAAAGCTAACTGCCATCATATCTGGGCTCCGATGTCAATGAATGGTCCACTTCTCTTATATTCTCTCAGCGTTGATTCTCTTCCCTGCTGATGCAGCCATAGGTAGGTCATCACCTTCTCCACCACATTCCCATCACCTCGAGCTTTGGCTGTCAAATATCAAGCACTGGCACCAACTCTATTCAAGATAAAAGCTGAAAATCATCTTTTTCAGTCCTTAGATAAGTAAATAAATAATCCCTTTCAGCAGCCACTTAAGGGATCCCTTCAACAGATTCTCTTCTGTGCTGGGACCACTGCTTTCATCAGGTCACTTTTCCTCACTCTCTAAAAGGTGGAGAATGGGAGACCCAAGGGCCCTGGCTGGCAGTCTGGCCCTGACTCTGCAGGTATGCTGTCTGCCACACGATCTAATGATCAAAAAGCCTGCCAATGGCCCAGCGAAGACAGCACAAACAGAGACATTTGATTCAAGGAAGGTGAAGTGAGGCAAAGCAAGCACTGTAATGCTGAGTGCCCAGGCGGATGTCTGCACAAAGGTTCTGAAATCACAGGGTCCCAAGTTCTCTTTCAGAGGGTGATATCCTGAGACAGAAGTCATAAGCAACAGCAAAAACAGAGTGAAGAAAAGGCTGAGGTCTTTAGGATCATTGTGGTGCACCTCATAAAGCCCAGCGGGGTATGAAGCCTTTTCTTAAAGTCACACCTACAAATCTTTAGCACTGGGGAAGTGATACAGTGAGCTAGTAAATGCTTGCCTTTGTATGTCACTTGGTGTAGCAATTGGACAGATTAATACAATGAGAAAGGCATTACAACAAAGGTGTGATAACAAAAGGACTGGTGCAATAGGGAGGTGCTATAAAGGAAGGGAAGAAGATTGCTCACCCATAACAGAAGATTCCAGGTTCGCAGGGGAAAGCTTTACCAAGGAGGGATCTCCAACCAGAGATCCTTCCCCAGTGGCAGTCAGCCCTCAAATGAGGTCTAAGAGACCTTCCCATCACACAGCTGAATTGCCTCCACCTGTGCTCCCAGGGCTCCTTTCCCCAGGTGCTCCATCAGTGCTTCAGGCCAGGACTCAACAGTTCCCACACACTTCGACACAGCAGCCTTGGCTTCACCAGACCAGCCGAGTATTGAGCACTCCAATTCACACACCTCTAAGTTCTGGAATGTGCTGCTCTCTTCTCAAAAACTCTCCCCATTTCTCAGCATCTTGGTCAAAAGATTTCTGACACTGTTTGATACTGACAAGCCCGTGCCATCCATAGGCATTTTCCAGCTGAGATTGTTCCTTTCCAGAGGAGACAGAAAGACGTTTGGGCTGATGGGTCTGGCTGATATGTGCTCCGCTCAGTGGCCACTGAGCACTTCCCCAAGTTTTATTGCAGATTTAGACAGCGAGCACTGCAGGGAGCAACATAAATGCAATTTGTGACTGACTCAACAGTAGAGATGAGAGGTTTGGCAGCTCTCGGAAAGTTTCCGATGTCAAAATATTGCAGGCTATTTTTGTCATTCTCACCTTACTAATTCCACCAAGCCATCCAAGCTTGGCACACATCACAGTGTCTCATTTGGCTCAAAGCCGTTCCATTTTCAAATCAAACCATGTACCCTTCCTCCTGCAGAACGAATGTTCAATAGCAGAAGGGCAGAGCTGTCATGCAAATGTAGTTGCTCAGCTCTAAATCGTGATCCCCTGAAACAGAGTATACAGATGAGTTATCCAGTTTGCAGGTGAAACACCGCAATATTTGTATTCACATCCACACTCTCACCACAAACTCACCATATGAATAACTTTCATCAGTAAATCTGACAGAGACACTTAAATTAGGAGATAGTTAGACCTAGAAGCTCATGTTTGAAATTGTGCTGTTCTTTGAGACCCTCTTTTTCAATTGTGGTGCAGCCCTGGAAGCGTTGCTCCAGCATTCAACATGCAGCCCCACTGATGTGGCTTCCAGGTTGTGTTTGGACCCATGTTCACAGGGGCACCTCAAAGATGCTGATGACATCCAATGCATTCCTCTGCATCTTCCCTTGACCATGGCAGCCACATAGGACTGGAAGGTATACTGGGGTTTCTTGCTTTGTTTTTGTGTTCTGGATTCAGGATTCAAATGAATGATTCCCAAGGAAGGATCCCACCTTTGGCCATGAGAGTGGACTGCTCATCCCTACCTTCAGAGAGCTGTCCCATGATCCTGGCATACCTACCACCACTGCTCTGCCAGCTGTGACCATTCCTCTCCAACGCAAATAGAACATGCAACTGCATGCATGATTTTTCCAGCCCAGTCCTTGTGTAGAGCTTTATACAGGGCTGTCATCCACTATCTGCGCTGCAGAACTTAACTGTGTATATTCATGGCTTAAGAGGAGACTGATCCCTGGCAAAACTTGAGAAAGCTCCGTTGGTAGCTCCAAAGGCAAACTTGTGCCGATGCTTGTCTGCAGCCTGGAATTTAAATTCCTACATCCCTGTGAGAAATCAGAACCCATTGCAGTAGTAAACTGATGTTTTCCCTGCCTGCTCTCGAGTTCAAGCTCTCAGACAAGAGATACTTTTCACGGTTGTTGACACAGCACTGCTCACCTGCAGAAGAAATTGCATGGGATGCACTGCCATCACTTGGTCACCCATCACCTCTTATCTGTGGATTCTGTGGACATCCGTGACAGGGAGCAACTGCTTCCCTCCATACTACAAAGCCCAACAAGAAATAAATATCTTCCCTCTGAAGCTTGGACTTTATCTGGCCTAAGGTATTTGCAAGGTCTTCTGTAACGAAGTACAGCAGGAGGGAGGACAAGTGTATGAATTTCATGCAGATGCTATCATTTATTGTTAATGCCATGACCCATTGCTAACACAGAGGGTTGTTATCATTCATGCACTGTGCCAGATAGCTACAGATGTGTCCAGAATACCAAAAAAAAAAAACAAAAAAAAAAAAACCAAGACAAAGCCAGCTTGAGAAGACAGCAAACAGGCAAACAGAAAAGGGAGTAAAGTAAGTATTCATCTTCTTTATAAACTGCATTTATTGTTTGTCTTCCCCTAAAGAACACTGAAGAAGCAGGATGATGAAAGAGAGAACAGGAGTTTATCAACAAAGAAGTTCTGGCAAGAAACCAAGTCACCTCTGGAGCTTCTTGCTCTGAACGAGAAACCATCAGTGCTAAGGTACAGCCATAAATGATTTTCACAATGGACTGGCCCAAACACTGAAATTATTCTGCAGGGAGCAGCTCTTCACAGGCTGATTGGATTCATTCAGTCTCGAGCACCGAGGATACACCAGGGGCTAGTTTCATTTATTGGGTTTAGAAGAAGTATTTACAAATCTAAAACCATAAATCTGAGGTTTTGCTGCCTTAGCTAAAGAGCAGAAATGTAGCTAAGACTGATGCCAGCCAAGACTTTGCCTTCATCCTTGAGCTCTGTTGATTGATGGAGTTACATCCAGATCATTAAAAAACATACATTAAAAGAAAGCTCCTGACCTCCGAGGAGAACAGCCCTGAATGATTAAATGCTAAAAAAAGCCAACAAACACTGACAAACTAAACAGACAAAACACAACAAAAACCAACTACCAGAATTCGGCAACAAAAATAGGAAAGAAATGTACAGCAGCATAATATTGTGTAAACTGAAGGTCACTACATCTGTCCAACTGGTAATGAAGATGGTGACAGGTTCCATCATGAGCATTGAAGATGCTGAAGAAGGCTGATCACCTCATCACTATTTTTTATGGGTTACAGCAAAGACCCCAAGGCATCCGGCAGCCAGTGGTGGGGCTGGAGGGAAGTTGCTCAGTTGAGATGCTTTATTTTGCACCAGGGCTGTGGTTGGAGGGCACAGCCATTGGGGAAGTCTCCAGATACTGAAGGGCTTCCTCTAAACCAAAGGCTAGCTAGACCAGGACAGGGCATTCATTAGTTAGCAAACTCTCTCAAATGTCAGTGAAATTTGGGCTATGGCTTCAGCTACTGGGTCATCAAAGGGACCTGAGGAGGCTTCTAGTCCAACCTCTTGCTCAAAGGCTATGAGATGAGATGAGGTTGCTTAGGGCTTTGTCCAATCTTGTCCTAAAAACTGCAAGGGTGAAGACTGTATAACCTCCTGGGGCAATCACTTCCAATACTCTGCTGTCCCAGTGGTGAAAAAAATGTCATCCCAATACCCTCATTTCCACCTGAGAACTGACTTCTCTAGAGGTTTTCAAGGAAAGGGTAGATGTGGCACTGAGAGCCTGGTTAGTGGGCATGGTGGGCATGGGTTGATGGCTTCATTTGACGCTCTTTTCCAACCTTCATGATGCTATTATTCTAGGTTTAGGACATTAATCAATCCATCCCAAAGGGAACTTATAGTATGGCTTATATCAATGGCCCTCTTGACCTCTCTCTCTCTAGTGACTATAGGAAGATCCTAGGCTACTCATGCAGAAGATGACACCTCCAGCAAGATGTATAAACCTAGGGATGGTGCTTCCTGTCCTGTCTTCCTCTTTCTCACCATCCTCCAAACACACTTATCTTCATTTTGTCCCCTCATGTCAAAAGTTGTCTGAGAAAAAGCTGGTCCTGAAATGCCATCTCAACCTCCAACTTAGCAACTTTCTTAGTGATGCAAAATTCAGTGCATTAAGCCATAGGTCTCCAAGGATTCCTGTGAGCTGCAGGTGAGTTTGGGAAGCCAATTCATTTTCTTGCATATGCAAGACACTGTTGGCATCTAAATTAAACAGCATGGATCGATCCAGCTTGCTCAGGGTGCAACATCCTCCCATAGCACTCCAAGCACACATGTGAAGCTAAAGCAGGGTGAGATCACTATAGGCAGTAAAATACAATTTGTTCTGTAATTACCACAAAGCATAGTGGCTTGTATACTTTAAAGGGCTCATTAATTTGAACTAGTCTCTTGTTTAGCTGTTACTTTTATGCAGCCTCACTCATCACAGAGTCAGACCCCAGCGCACCCCATTAACGCTGCACTGGCTGCCAAGCAATGCTCTTCCCAGCTCATGGGGACCAGCTGGCAAGGCAGCAACTGGAGATTAGGGCAGAACAAGAGGTGTGTGAGCCAGTTGCTAATGTCACTTCACTGTTTTGGCTCCTGCAAGGACAGATCAATCCAGGTAGCTTTGGGAGCAGTAAACTTGGTTTGTAAATGCAACTGCTCTGCTGACGCCCTTCCTGCATTGTGCACTGAAGCTATCAAACAGGTGAGAAACACAAATATAAAACCCGTTTGATGTGATCCTCTTTCTTTTCCAGCTCATCTGTAGGAGGGGTTGTCTGGGCACAGAGAAATTAGCATTGTTAGTTTGATGCATGCCAGGGTATCTATATGTGTTCGAGAAATGCAACACAATTAATTAGCCTTGAAAAAAAAAAAAAAAAAAGCATTTGAAGTGTTTATTGCAGGATCAAGCTCCTGGTTTTATAAGCAGATGGGGAAATAAAGTGCTAGGAATGACATGGAGAAAACAGCTGCACTGGGACCAGAAGCCTAATTCATAATTCAGCAGACTAATCAGCGAACATCTTCTGCAGTTCCTCAGCTGTAATGGAAGAACGTGAGGAGGCAAACGATTAGGCTGCTTTAGTTCTTAAAGAGCTTGCTACCAATTAGCTTCCCTTCTCTGCTGCCTGCGTACAGAACTAACGACGTGGCCCCTGTTATTGAAGAGACAGAGAAAAGTAGGTCAGCCTAAAATAATTGTCTTAACGATAAACACACTGAGGCACAATTTCAATACGGCTCGCTGAGAATTAATTAGAAGAATAAAGACCTGTTCACACCCGCTTTTCTGATCGCCGGCATCCTCCCGCAAGAAGAGAAGGGGCCGATGTTTGTTGCTGATGCTGTTGGGGCTGGGGTTGCCTTTTTTCTAATGACTGCAGAGCCAGCCGTGCTGGGGGATCATCTCTGCACAGATCTGTGCTCAG